GAGCTGAAGGCAGTCGCTTAACCAACTGAGCCACCCAGGCGCCCCTGTGACTTTCAACTTTAAAATTGTATTTCAGTGTTCTTAAAATCTCTTAGGAAAGGAGCTCTTTGCCTCAAGTTTTTTTTTCTTTGTGAGCGAGAGAGGAATCTTAGTTGTAGCTAATGGTTAATGGGCTGTATTATAGTTACAGAAACCACTGCTTACCACCTCTGTATTGGATTCAGCTTTAGGTTTACTTATTTGCCATAACTTAGATTTCATTATTTCCTGTCATCAGTAAATTTATTCATAAAGAACAAAGTATTAATGTAATCTGGAAGTAGTGAGGTCTTCTCTATTTTCAGTGAGTTAATTTTGTGTGATACGTAAACTTGGGAATTCTCTGCAGAGAAACTCAATGTGTTGTTTGAATTTGAAGTGTATCAGGGTGGAATTATATGAAGTGTGAATGCTTATATCATTTGCTTAAAATGGTGACTTTTATGGATATGCTTTAATAAAAATTAAAACCCTGTAATATGCCAGAAAGAGCACTAGACTCAGTTCAGTAACTCAGTGACCAGATTTGTTATCCTGGTTTCACTGTTACTTTAGTGGTCTTGTAATGTTTATCCTGGTTTAACTGTTACTTAGTGCTCTTGTAGTGTTGGACAGATTTTTTCACCTCTTTCAGTTTATTTACCTGTAGATAATATTGCATCCAATTGACCTCCAAGGTGCATTTAAGTATAGTGATACAAAATTCAGAACTCCATTTGGTTTTTTTTATCTTTGGCTAATTAATTAATGGCAGTCCTGATGCACTTGGCATTGGTCAGTGGACGAGAAAAGAGAGAAAAGCTCTTTGAATAATTCAGTGTTAGTAATTGGTATTTGGCTAAACTGATATGGTTATTTAAAATGTTTCCATAGGGTATGCTAGCCTATAAAGAAAAAAATATATATATAAAGAAATACATGAGTAGAAAGATATTGAATCTTAGTATCCAGGTACTGACAGTGTTTATTTCTGCATTTACTCATACTGTATATTGCATTGTTACCTAGTTGTGGAATATTAGTGCTGGAAGACACTTGGATATTACAGAGGCCAAAAGCCATATTCTTCTATCATACCCAGAATATTTCAGTTTGCAGATTTAGTGCCAAATTTGTGGTATAAAGAATATTTTAAGTTCAGAGTAGAAGCATTTAATACTACTCATGGTGGCAGAGGATTGGGAGCTGGGTTTGCAGAGTGGGTAGGATTTGAACAGGTGAGAGATGAGCATATTAGTCACGGGGGATGGTAGGACAGAGAGCAAGGTATTTAAATTGCCAGTTTTGCTAGAGGGTTTATAAAAAGTATAGTAAATAAGATTGGAAATATTGGTGGAATCAAACCATGGACAGGATGAAATTTAGAAATTTAGGATGGAAATAGGTCTATACAAAGTCTATACACCAGGATGTGTGTGTGTGTGTGTGTGTATTCTC